AAGTGTCCAGCTAAGCTGGGAACACCTTTGCACTCTAGCTCCAAGGAAATGAATCAGCCTTTTCATTGAGTGCCTGGGGACTGGTCTTCAGCATCTCCATTGTTAGATCTCAGATGCCTAGAGCCCAGCCAAGCAGATCACAGAGGCTGGCAGCTAAGAAAGCAGACCTACATAGCTCCAAGCAGTTTGCCACCTTGTCCTCTTACCCCCAAAAACCCAGCAGAGAGGGAGGGATTATTAGCATCCCACCGAAGAGCCACATTGGAAGAGCTTATAGCACTCCTTTTGAACTCATTGTCCAAACGAGGGGAGATAGTGTAGCAAGTTCCCTTTAAAAAAAAAAAAAAACAGTTTATCTGAAGTAAGCTTGCAGCTCTCTCTGTGTGCTTTGAGCTAAATTCCTCATGGTTTTGGGGATTTATATGGATTGGAGTTTTCCAAATAATTCAATGATGTTAGTTTAAGTAAATCGATAATTTATCTATTGAAAATCCCATAAGCTTGGAAACATTTAAACTACGGCGTACTTTTTTTTCACTAGTAGAAACCCTGATTTGGGAGGAAATGTTACCACTTTTGTGGTTTGACCTGTAATTTAAAAGTTGTTAGGAATCCAGAAAAAAAAAAAAAACAACAATTGCCATGGGGTTGATTCTGACTCATAGAGACCCGATAGGACAGAATAGAACTGCCCCTTAGGGTTTCCAGGGAGCTGCTGGTGGATTTGAATTGCTGACCTCTTGTTTAGCAGCCAAACGTTTAACCAATGGTGCCACCAGGAATAGCAGCGGTTTACTCCTAGTTTAACGTTTATCTTTTCTTTCTTCAAAATGCATTGGCGTATACATAACATTTTTTTTAAATTTTTTTTTATTGTACTTTAGATGACGGTTTACAGAACAAATAGTTTCTCATTAAACACTCAGTACACAGATCGTTTTATAACACTTGTTAACAACCTCATGACATGTCAACACTCCCTTCTCGACCTTAGAGGACTTTTTTTTTCGTGAAAATATACATAGTCAAAGTTACACCATTTCAAGAGTGTCTACATGTACAATTTAGTGACATCGATTACATTCTTCCAGTTATGCTGCTATTCTCATTATCCTTTTCCAAATTATTCCATCACCATTATCTTCAACTCACTGCCCCCTAGGCTTCCCATCAAACCTTTTGAGTTGCTGTTGTCAAT